GCGGGCGGCGTCCCCTGCTGGCGGGAGGGCGGCAGCGCAGGGGACCGCACCGTGGCAGGCGCACCTGCCTGCTCTCAAGCCACTTGGTAATCGGCAACTTCGTGGCGAGTCACGAATGCATTCTCGCTTAATACGCGAAAACCCGGCCGCTTATGGTGCAGAGGCCTCTTCGCGTCACGCCGCATAAGTAACCGTACTTCAGACGTGGGCGCGTCCCCCGCGGGCGTAGGCGCCCCGCTGCGTCCCGCGCGTGCTTGAGCGGGATCTTCACGCGAAGCTGGCTGTTCCCAGGCTTGTTTCCCGCTCAGCCTGAGGCCTCAGTTCTCACACTCTACGGCGTCAGGGGCGCCTGGTCTCTCCTGGGACGGCGTCCCCCGATTTCTCCCTCTGTTGATGGACTGTACCGGGATGAATTAGCATCTCCAAATCCATCACGGGAAATTGGGAACGTGACCTTATTTGGGAATGGGGTCTTTGCGACGTAATCGAGTTAGGAGGTCTTTCCGGACTGGGGTGGGCCCGAAAGGCAATGGCAGGTGTTCTTAGGAAGAGGGGAGTTTGGACGCACAGGCAGGGAGAAGGCCATGTGACGGGGTCGCAGAGATGGAGGAGATGCGACTACGAGTCCGGGTCCCCAAGGGTTGCTGGCCACCAGCAGAAGCTAGGGAGGGACCTCGACAGGTTCTCTGTCTCCTGAGGTCCTGGCGAGAAGTGCGGGGGAGGAAGGGACAGGGGAGCAGCCCGCAGTCCGGAGGGGCGGGGGGGGGCTGTGTGTGGGGAGGAGGGCTGCGGGGCTCCGGCCTGCCCAGCCTTCCTGGGGCCCGCCCCGCCCGTGCCCCTGTGGGGCCGGCGCTGATTCCCGCCGCCCTGGCTGAGGATGAGGGACAGGCAGGAGCGGGGGTGAGGACTGTCCCCACCTCCAGTGCTGCAGTCGCTCTGCGCTCTCGCGGGCGCCCCCCACCTTTCCAGGAGTCTGTCTCACTTCCGTTGTCACAGCCTGGAGCCCATTCTCTCATTTGGTCATTTCTCTGGGGCTCACTGGGGGGAGAGAGTCACCCTTGCCACCACCCCATTTAACAGGAGCCAAAGAGTTAAGTGCATTTATTTGTGCATGGTGCACACAGCAGCTGCCCAGCAACGGGCAGCGCCCTCCCGGTAGCCTGCCTCCCGCCAGGCCTCTGTGCCTGCTCACCCGACACCTGGGTGCTGCGCCCTCTCTGGCTTCCTCCGGGTGTGTGGGGGTGTGTGTGTGATTTTCTTTGCTTTGAAGCCACAGCTTCTAAGACTTTGTGGGAGACAGGTGTGGGCAAATTGTGGGGAATTTTTTGACCCCCAGATTCAAATGCGATGGAGGCCTTCGGCAGTTATTATGGTTGCTTCTCACCTGGAGGAGCCCTGCACCCCCGAGCCTGCAAACTTCTGCAGCTCCTCCCCAGGGCCCTCCCCAGGCGTTGCAGCCCTTGGTGGACAGGAAATTCAGCTTCTCTGGTCCCCGTGAAAGGGCGGGGGGAGGTGGGAATGAGGAGACTCTACCATCTGGTTGCAAACATGAAACAGCGTATCACTGACAGGGACGGATGCCAAGTGCTGGTGTGTGCTCATGCGTGAGTGTTCGTGTGCGCGCCTGTGCACGCAAGAGATGGGGTCGGAGAGGTGGGCAGGCGCCAGGCATGAAAGGCGTGGCAACGTGCTACCTTTCGTGTGTGTTCTGGGAGCAGTGGGAAGCCAGCGACCTGTTTTAGGTGGAGAGGTGGGTAAAAGCGTGGGGGGAGTGGTTTAACTCCATCTGCATTTGGAAAAGTGCCTGGCTGTTTGTACAGGACCGAGGGGGTGAGGTTCATGGGCAGACAGAAGGCTCTTGCATCAGACACTTGTCCCCCAGCCGGGAAAAATTGTTGGTGGGGCCTGACAGTTCTTTAAAAATAATAGCGTGAATGATCTATTAAGAGTACTATGATATACAACTTAAAGTGTGATCTTTAACTCAGTGTCTGAGTTCGTTGGAGCCTCTGTAACAGAATCCCACAGACTGCGTGGCTTACGCAGCATCTATTTCTCAGGGTTCTGGAGGCCAGAAGGTACCGAAAGTTTTTGTGTCTGGTGAGGGCACCTTCTCGCCGTGTCCTCACACGATGGGAGGTTCCGGGGAGCTCTCTGGGGACCCTTTCTGAGGCCACTAACCCCCTGCAGGAGGGCCCCACCCAGTGACCCAGTCACCTCCCAAAGTCCCCACCTCCTGACACCATTGCCTTGGGAGTTAGGATTCAACATGTGCGTTCGGTCCATGACACTCAGGTTCACAGACTTCTTCTTTTGTTGTTTTCAATGCATCATTTATTGATTACTTATTAAAAACATTTGTTTTCCGATAGGAAATCTGCTCACCATGAAAATGGAGCTATTGTAGCTCTCTAGGGAACGTGGAAGGGCAAGTCCTACATAAGCAGTTCCTTCTGGAGATACTGAGCCTTCCAGATACGTAATGCCGATAGTAATCTCCGTTACAGTTATTTTATTTTATTTTATTTTTTTACCAAAACAGGACACAGAGTTTGCAGCTTCTGTTTTGCTCCGGGTGCAGCAGCTTAGGTCTCTTTCTGCATCGGCGACCTGGGTGCTGGCTGCAGCGTCCCTGGAGCCTGTTAGGAGGGCGGTTTGTGTCCTCACCCCATCCGTGGTCAGGACCGCGCTTAATGGCTAACGGCGCCCGGGGCGATGCGGGCACGTTCACATCTGAGAATCACCAGGTC